AACCCAACCAACCAACTCAATCAACCTATCATCCATCTACTCACCCACCCACCCAATCAACCAACTCAATCAACTTACCCATCCATCAACCTAACCAACCAATTCAATCAACCTACCCATAAACTCACCCAACCAACCCAACCCAACCAACCAACTCAATCAACCTATCATCCATCCATCCAACCAACTCAATCAACTTACCCATCCATCAACCTAACCAACCAACTCAATCAACCTACCCATAAACTCACCCAACCAACCCAACCAACCAACTCAATCAACCTATCATCCATCCTCCCACCCACTCACCCAACCAACTCAATCAACTTACCCATCCATCAACCTAACCAACCAACTCAATCAACTTACCCAGCTCAATCAACTTACCCATCCACCTACCCAACTAACCCAATAATACAACGCAACCAACAAACTCAACTTACCTATCCATCTGCCCAACCAACCTGATCAAATAACCCAGCCAACCAACTCAATTAACTGACTCATCCATCCACTCAACTAACCCAATGAAACAGCCCAACCAACCAACCAACCAACCCAAACAACCAGCTTCAATCAAGTCCATTATAATCCCATGGGTGTCAGAGATGAACTGTGCTCCACACGGTTTTCATGGCTGATGTTTCAGGAGTCCATTACCACGTTTTCCTGTCAAGGTGCTTATATGTGTACTTGAACAACCAAGCTTTCACTTAGTAGTTAGTGAGTTATTGTTTGCCCCACACAAGGTCTCTGAATACCTACTGAGGAACCTTGAGACATCCAGTCTGTTCCGACCATTAGTCCTACTGACAGAAGACAACATACAGCACAGCAAAGCAACCAAGGATAGACTCGGAGTGTTTACCAGAATACCTACCAATAAAACCATGGAGGCCCGGGTTCCAGGGGGTTTTGGAGGAAGCTGGAGATACGTGGCAGAGGCAGGGGGCACCTTGGAAGAATATTAAAATAGAGAAGTTCATAAATTGGCTTATCTCAGCAACAAAAATTAAGTCATTAGGTGATGTAAACTGTTAATACACTCATCTCCTAGCCAAAAGGTTGGATGTTCTAGTCCACTCAGAGGCTCTCCAGAACAAAACGATTGGCAATCTGTATCTTAAAAAACATCCATTGTTGGAGCTCTGGTAGCCTAGTGGTAAGGAGCTGCAACTACAATCCCAGAGGTGCATGGTTCAAATCCACCAGATGCTCTGCCGGGGAAGGAGGGACAATCTCCTCCTGTACCAGTCAGATCTGATTTGACGGTACACTCACACAAAAATAATAAAATAAAAATTAAAAAAACAAAAAAAACACCATTCATTGAAAACTCTATGGAGCACAACTGGACTCTAACATACATAATGGAATCATTACAGTTGGTGTAGACTCAAGGGTGTGTCAAGAATAAAAATATCTTAGGGATTTTTTTTTCCTGTTCATTACTACACAACTTCCAATTCTTCAGCTGTGTGCCCCTCTGGGGACACTAGTAAGTGGATTAGCCCAACAAAACAGTTCCATGAATGGTGTCCAGCTACGATTATTGAACATTTTTATCAAATATTCTATATTATAATTTTGATCAAAAGGGGGGAAATGAAGAACAGAATTTCAAATTCTCATGGAATCCAAGATTTGGGAAGCCATAGTGGCTAGAAAAACCTTTGACATTTCTGATAATCTTTAAACCTTAATCCACAAATCTCCTTGGAAGTCTTATTAAAACTAAACAGCACTCTCTCAGGGAGGAGTGATAGGGAATGGCAAAGGACACAATGACAAAGGAGATTAATCAAAACTGGCTTTAACAAGCACTGTGGTAATGGGACAATTAAAACAGACTTTCAAGGGGGGGGGAAAGAGGAACGAACTGGGGGGAGGGTAGAGAAAACAGTGCAACAATGAATGAATGAATGGAAACCCAAAATCTCTGTAAATGTTCATTAAAACTAGTAAAATTTAATAAAAATAAATAAATAAACAAACAAAAAAACCTCTAAACAGCAGAAGGAAAAAAAACCCCACAAACAACTAAACAGCAGAAGTGGCATCCACTTCCTAAACAACATGCCTCTGGAAACTCTACGAACCTTGATAAATGGCCATAGTTACTGAAAGGCTTTAGGCCATTTGTTCATAGGGTCACGATGAGTCATGCTGAACCTGATTGGTCATCAACAACAACAGTTTAGCTTCACTCATAAAGAATGTCTGTCTTGAGCAGAGTGTTCTTTTAAGATCTAGGTATATGGGATCAAAGTAGCAATAGCTACTTGAAAGATCACAAAGATTAGTGAGGTTATGTTAATGTTGTTGTTGTTGTTGAATGCCTTCCAGTAATCACCTCATAATGATCCTGTGAATAAAAGGCCTGAAACCTCTCTACAACTTATCAACATTTATCAAAGTTCATAGAGTTTCCTGAAGCATGTTGTTTAGGAAGTGGACACCACTCCTGCTTCCAATATCTATCTTCATCTATATTTATCTAGAGATAATCCGTAGACCATGGTCTTTTCAATTACTTGATATGCTTCAGAGAGTTGGACAATGACTAAAGATGATAGAAGAATAATAGATGCCTTCGAGTTGTGGCACTGGAGAAGAGTCTTGAACATACATGCCATGGACTGCCAAGAAAAGGTAAAACCAAGTCTCTCCTTGGAGGCTAGGATTTTGAACCTTCACCTCACTTACTTGGGGCATGTGGCCAGGAGAGATCCCTGGAGAAGGACATCATGCTTGGAGGGGTAGATGGACAGCGCAGGAGAGGGAGACCTCTGAGGAGATGGATTGATACAGTAACTGGGGCAAATGGGGCTCATGTGTCAGAATTACTGAGACTGGCTCAGGACAGGGAAGGGTTCAGAGCTGCTGTCCATAGGGTCGCTATATATCACAAGCAACTAAATGGCACATAACAACAATAAAATACTATGATAGGTTTGGAAGCAGGGCTGGCATCCACTTTCTAAATAACATGTCTCCAGAAACTCTATGAACTTTGATAAATGTTAATAGTGGTAAAGGGGCTTTCTGTTCATAGGGTTGCTATGAGTCACGCTCGACTTGAAGGCAATCAACAACAACAACTATCTATCTATCTATCTATCTATTGATATCAACTCTATTCTGACTCAGGTTGACCCCACGTGTTTTAGATTAGAAGGGTGTCCTATGAAAAATTTATTTTTAATGTCTGAATTTCTGGGCATAGATTGTCAGATCTTTTTTTCAGAACATAAATATTTCCCACAGTTCAAACAAACTCAGCCCCAGGTTTTTTAATACTACAGCTATGCTAGATGTCAATTCTCTACCACTTAAGTGAAGAACAGAAGATAATCAAGTTGAAAAGATAAACTGAGCACACAGACATATAACTTCATTCTCTCTTGCATCCCAGACTCAGGGTGTTTTTATGAGACAAAGACAAGCTTGTCTTTCCGATCTCAGGGAGTGAATGGGAGTCCATGCTCCCTGACCACATGTGAGCCCAGGTGTGATTCCCCTCTTGAACTACAGTTCCCATCATGCTCCGAGATAATAAAGTGGGGATGAGCCTAGATAAGCGGTCGCAAGGACTTGTGGGAGAAGTAGTCCCCTGCCTACTTACTTCTCGGTTGACCTGTGTTCTGGACTCCTGACTCCAGTTCTGGGGGCTTCTTGGGGGCCTTCCTGCTCCAGCCTCCAAAGAAGGTCCTCGGCGAGGAGTGGAAGGCCTGGAGAGGGTCCGGCGTTGGGGACCCCATTCCAGGGGAGGACGGACATCGATGCGACTCAGGGGTGTATGAGGACGGGCAGTGGGGGCTGTATCTCCGGAGGTGGGGGGAGGTCGGCGCGCAGGAGCAGACCGGGGCCGGGGGAGGCTCAGAGGAGAAGGCGGGTGAGAAAGAGGTGTGAACAGGCTGTGGGGAAAGAGGGAAATGGAGTGAACGAGAGCTCAACCATCCTCCTGAACCATTCACCCACCACCCACTGATGTCCAATCGATTCCAATATTCAGTGACCCTGCAGGACTGAGTAGAACCGCCCCACAGATTTGCCTAGGCTGCAATCTTTACAGAGGCAGACTACCTAACAGAGGGAGCTGACAACCCAAAGGCACACAGTAAGTCCACCAGTTTGGGGAGCTCTGATGGCCTAGGGGCAAGAAGCTGCACTGCAATCCCAGAGGACGGTGGTTCGAATCCACCAGAAGCTCTGCTGGAGGCGGGACAATCTCTTCCTGTACCAGTCAGATCCGATTTGACGGTACACACACATGCACACATACACACAAAACCACAAACAAAAAAAAATGTAAAGAAAAAAGTTTACCAGCAAAAAAAGAAAAAGTTTTGCAAAAAAAAGATGGTCATTTCCTCCTATGTAATTTAGTGCCTCTGACAACCTGCTGGAGGCTCAGTTAGGAATTGGTTCAGATTCGATGGTCCATAACAACAGCCTAACAATTTTCTCTGAAATGGCAGATAGTGGATGCAAACTGAGGACCTTCTGGGTTGCCAAACGCACACTTTAACCAGGTTTCCATCTTTTCATTACCGTCCTTAAATATGTTCCTTTAGTAGAACCTCCTCCTTTGAATTTCCCTCCTGGGCTGAGAATCATGTCCCACACAGGCCAGTGCAGGGGAGCAGAAGGCCACGCCCCAAAGTGCATCTTTTCCCAACAAGCCCCGCCCTTATCACAAGCCTCGCCCCATGCATAAGATTCCCTTTCTCAAAAGCTGTTGCTTTTGTTATGTAGTCGGAACCAACTCATAGCTGACCCTCTGGCAGGTTTACAGAGGTTGTAAATCACATCGGAGGAGATTGCTCTTCTTCCTCCCAAAAAGCTGGAAGAACCGAACCCCGAGGCTTTGGTCTGGCAGAGCTGCTCCTTACCACTAGACCACCAGAACTCCCAAACTATGAGTCCTATAGGTTTTTAAAATTTTCCTCTCCAGACCCCTTAGTCCTACTTACTCTGGGCTCCTCGCTCTCCGAATCCGGGGTCCTGATGGAAGGTCGGCTGTGGGGCTGGGAGTGAGCATCCTGGGTCCCCCACGTCCTCTAGAGAACCGAGCCACTTCCGGTGATTCTGGGCTGCGCCTCCCTTCTCCTCTGCTCCCCTCTGGGGGACCGCCTGGGCCACCAGGGCCCTCCCCAGGCTGGGGACGTGCGGGTGATCTGGGCCGAGCACTAGCGAGTGAGCACAGATATGTTATCCTTTTGAAATGTATAACAGCCTGTATTCTCTGTTCTCAGATGAGGACGTAGGGACCATTACTAGAACGTGGTGTGTTGCTGTTGTTATGTCCCGTTGAGTTGCCTAAACAACAGCCCTAAACCCTGCTCCATCCTGTGTCAATCTTGTCTCTGATACACCTACCCCCATCACCCCAATCATTGAATCAATCCATCTCATCGACGGTCTTCCTTCCTCTCTTGAGCTGTCCCTCCACCCTCCCAAGCATGATGTCCCTCTCCAAGGACTGATCCCGCCTTGCAACATTTCCAAAGTATGTCAGAAGCTTCAGAATCCTTGCCTCTAAGGAGCAGCCTGGCTTCACCCGCTCCAGAAAAGCTGGGCAATGACTAGAGATGATAGAAGGAGAATTGATGCCTTTGAACTGTGGTGCTGGAGAAGAGTTTTGAATATACACCATGGACTGCCAGGAGAACAAACAAGTTCGTCCTGGAGAGGGTGAAGAAAACGGTATATTAAATCATAATCCCAATTTGCAGATGGAGAAACTGAGGCTTGAGGGTGGAAATGATTTCTGCTTGCTTCCACCTCAAGGTCACTGGACCCTGTGTCTGAACTCTGAGACCAAATGAGTCAGGGAGTCCAAGTCTTCAGCTTAAAGATGGCCAGGTCAAGATACTAAGAACTCATCTCAAGTGACACTGATCTGACATTAACTTAATTTCAGGAGACTTTTGAAACAGCCAATTAGAGAGTAAGAAGTGTAGAGCTTGGTGGGGCGGAACTGAGACCATCAGATTCCCTGATTGGAAGATTGGCTCTGGTGGGCGAACCTATCAGGGGCAGACTTTTGTTGATTGGACAAATTTCCACCAGAAGGTGGAGTCGTATTAGTGAAGAGGCACGGGATTGGATGTTCTTTTCAAGGGGGTGGAGCTAAGGAAAATCACGCTGACTCAGATGGGTGGAGATACAGACAAGGAGGCGTGGCTTGACTCTGGACTCACCAATCATCGCCCTCCGCGCGGGAAGCACGGCCCAGCGCCCGCAGCCAGCCTCGCAGGTCCTCTAGTGTGTCTGCAGCCAGGACATAGGTCCTCATCCCTGGGTGCTCAGCCTGCATGTGGGAAGACTGGGCTAGAAACCTAGAAGTCGGGGTTCCCCTGCTCCAAAGAATGTCCTGGGCCCTGAACAAAGTCTTTGTTTCTACCTCCTTTAGTGGATGCTCGGGACCTTCGTCCACACACCTCCCACTGAAATCCCCCCAGCTGCTTCACACCCAAGACGGACAGGGGGACTCACAGTGAAGGTGAAGCGCCGCCCTCGGGGAGCTCCTGGCCCATCTGGCCTGATCGTATAGCTGGGGAGCAGAACACTGCCCAGGACGCTCTCTTCACGGCTATCTGCAAAAAGGAGGCTGGAAGTCAGGTATCACCAGCAGGATGAAGGTAAAAGATCAGAGCAGAGTATGGGAGGGGGCATCCCAGTCCACGCCAGCTGGGCACTAACCCTTGTAATAGAAGAGGCAATGGCCAGAAAGGACGAACCAACGGCGTTTCCACAGCCGGAGTCCAGCGCTGTCCTGGAGTGGGGTAGGAACAGAAGCTTGAATAGAGGACAGAGGAAAGAGGAGATGGCGACAGTGACAGCTAGGGACAGAATACTATCTATAAAAGGAGCAGATATCCACAGAGAGAGCGAGACCCAGAGAAAAGGGGTTAGAGACCCACCAAGGGTGGATCAGAGACCCATAGACAGAAAATAAAATAGAGATTCCCAGATAAACGGAGCTAGAGACCCAGAAAGAAAGGGACACAAAGCCTTACAGAAAAGAGAGCCTCTGAGATAATGCTTGATGTAACAAACATTATTAAGATAATGAGCTGGGTGTCAGTGTGTTGTGATAATTTGTATTTCTAGCAAGATCTCAGATAATGTTGATTCTTCCTACCCAGGATGCTTCCTTTGAGAACCAGAGCCCTGGGTGTCCCAGATCCCTGCTATTCCTGCCTCTCACCAGAAACATCAAGCTTCTGCCTGCTGTAGGGCTGTTAAGCTTTCTGAGTCCCTCTGTCCTGAGGGCTTAGCATGAAGGACTCTGTAAATTCATCCTTAGCTCAAAGAGCTCTTCCAGGTCTAATAATCAATGGCTTCATGACGTGGTCATTCTTGATCATAACCCTATATGTAATTTCTTCACTTCTCTCACCAATGACAAACCTATCCAGTCACCCTGGCCTGCAGGGTCCCTCCCAGACGGACTGGCAACTGGCCTGTAGGGTTTCTCAAATAACCTGTTGCACTGCTATCCCAAAGAATCTACCAGTTACTCTGTGGAAGAGAGATGGGCTGTGTCCTCCAGTAAAGATTTACAGCCTCAGAAACTAAATGGAAGGTGGCTATGAGTTGGAAAGTAGTAAACAGTCACATTTACGGAAGCCAGCTGCTACATCTTTCTTCCTGTGGGTCTGAACCGCCAACCTTCTGGTTAGCAACTGAGCACTTTAACCACTATGTTACCAGAGCTCCTTATAACATGGCAGCATTTGGTACACTCTGAAATAATGTTGTTAGTTCTATATTTAGGCCCACTGGTAGCATGGTATGTTATGTGTCAGATAGCTAAGTTAAACATCAGCAGTTCAAATCCACAAGCTGCTTCTCAGGAGAAAAATAAAACATGCCTCTCTTGTTCAAGAAATGAACAGCAGAATAAGAGGAACATCAGTGATTGAAAAAGAAAAAACAACAAACAAACATACAAAAAAACCAAAACAAACCACCACAACCCAAACTGGAGGTCTTAGAAAGAGAAGATGGTGCTGTAAGCAGCCAGGGACACAGCAACAATGTCATTTTGCTGTCCTTCCCCTTGTCCCATGGAGTCCAGTCCTCGAGATCCACCTGCTTATGAAGCCAGCCTCGGATGTGCACAGTGAGGTTGGGGTCCCTTCGGAGAGCATTGCCCCTCTTCCCAAAGGCATGGACTTTGCTAACTGCTCGGGTGGACTTCTGAGGAGAGAAAAGGGACAAGTGAGATGGTATACGGCAGACTTGAGCTTCACAAGGCAGTTATACTTCAGTGGTAAAGTTTTTTCCTCCTATACAGGAGACCTGGATTTGATTAATGGCACATAAATCTCATGTGCATCACCACCTCTCTGTCAGTGGAAGCTTGCATGTTGCTGTACATGTAGCTTTCATATCCTATCAGATGAGGAAGAAAGGCCTGGCAATTCACTTTATAATACATCACAATGGTCTTATCTGCAACCAGTCATGGGAATGGTGCAGACCTAGGCAGTGAGTGTTTCATTCTGCTTTGTATGAGGCCACCAGGAAGGAATGGTGGATTGCCTCAATGGCAACAAGTCTGCTCTTAGCAGATGGGTTCAGGTGGGCACTGACTCTTGAGATATGAATGGGGTGTGCAGAGTGTAGAGTTGAGAGGCTCTGTTTTGATGGGTAAGAGGTATTCAGAGGGAAGTAAGGGGCTACTGGGAAGTGGGGAAGTGATGTGGGAATGAAGGACCTATTGTCAAGGAGAAGATGCCACAACCCACCAGAATCTGTGGTAGAGCCTTTGGGATCCATAGTGGAAATACTGGCTGGGAAGTCCCCATACTCAGGAACAACTACTAATCTGAGCTCCTAGGGATGAATTGGCCAGGATCAGAAGGTCAGAAGAATGTCACCTTCACTCGGTCATAGAACCTGAGAGTGACAAACCAAAACCAAGCCATTTGCTCTCAAGTCAGCTTCACCTCAGTAGTCCCCATGAGTACAATGTAGGTTTCACTCAAGGCTGTGACTTTTCAGTGTAGCCTGGTGACACAATGGTTAAGGGTTCAGCTACTAACAAAAAGGTTGGTGGTTTGAATGTCCTCAGTGGCTTCTCAGGTGAAAGATGGTGATATACTCCAAATAAAGGTTACCAAAAAAACCAAGCTCAGGGGAGCTCTGGTGGCCTAGTGGCAAGAAGCTGCAACTACAATCCCAGAGGTGTACGGTTCAAATCCACCAGATGCTCTGCTGGGGAAGGAGGGGCAATCTCCTCCTGTACCAGTCAGATCTGATTTGACGGTACACGCACACAAAAATAATAAAATTTTTAAAAGTTTAAAAAAAAACCAAAAAAACCAAGCTCATTGTGGTCCAGTAGAATCTGACTCATAGAATCCCCATAAAATAGAGAATTTCGGGAGCTCTGGTGGCCTAGTGGCAAAAAGCTGCACTGCAGTCCCAGAGGATGTGGTTCAAATCCACCAGATGCTCTGCTGAAGGAGGGGCAATCTCCTCCTGTACCTGTCAGATCCAATTTGATGGTACACAAAAAATAATAAAAAGAAATTTTAAAAAAAGATAAAGAATTTCCTCAAAGGGTTTCCAAAACTGTAAATCTTAATTGAAGTGGACGGTCTTATCTTTTTCTTTCAAAGTGACCATTGAGTTCAAACAGCTGACCTTCAGGTTAGCAACCAAGCATTTTAACTGATACACCACCAAGGGTTCCATTGTAAAGAAAACCCAAAACCCATAGCCAGTAAGTTGTCTGTCACACATGGAGACCCACCATCAGGTTTCTGAGACTATTAGTTTTATTGGGAGTAGAAGACCTCCTCTTTCTTCTAAGGAGCAAGATAGATTTGAACTCTGGTTGGTAGTGGATTTGAACTCTTGGCCTTTATGGTTAGCAGACCCAGTCCCACATGTACTCAGCTAAGCCACCCAATCTCCTGTGGGGTATTTCTACTCTGTAACAGGAGGTCATCATAAGTTAGTATCAACTCAATGGCACCTAAGACTAAAAATGACCTTTCAGAAGCAAATCCCAAGGCCTTTCTTCTGAAATATTGGGCGCATTCTACCTGCCAATCTTTCTGTTAATTGTTGAGTGAATCTGTAACCATTTACACCACCCAGCAATCCCTCCAGGGAAGTCTTGCATAGTAGTAGTTAGTTGTTACTGAATTAATTTTGACTTAGCAACCCCTTCCGGCCCCATGTCCTTGGGTAGGGCAAAGAGTTAATGCACAAGATGACAAACTGAAAGGTTAACTGTTCAAAGCTACACAGAGGCATGTCAGAAGAAAGGTCTAGTGATCTGTTTCTGTAAGTATTGTTATTGTGGGGAATCTCACTACCTACCATCAAGAAAGAAGACTCAACCATTCTGGAAGGCAGTTTGGCACTTCCTCAAAAAAAGCTGAACATAGAAATTCCATATGACCCAGCTATTCCACTGCTTGGAATATACCCTTAGAAAATGAGAACTGAGGCACAAATGGAGACCTGTACATCAATGTTCATAGCAATGTTATTCACCATGGAAACAGCCCAGATGTCCAACCACAAACAAATGGATTGAGAAAGTATGGTACATTCACACAATGGAATACTACGCAGCATGCAGGAGCAATGATTTTGTAAATTACTCCCTAACTTGGAAGGAACTGGAGAGCATTATGCCCAGTGAACTAACTCAGTCCTTCAAGGATAAATATTGTATAAAACCATTATTGTAGAATGAATATAAAGATCCAAGGGGTGGGGGAAGGGTGGAAGCAGAGGGCTGAGGATGTGCAAGGGGAAGGGGCTATTAATCATAGGGTTATACAATTTGATGGGGGTGAGGAAAATTGGAAGAATCTGGTCTGGAAAAGAATGTATTGAATTTTGTAAATAAACTAGTATATAATAATAAAAGAAATAACATCAACACAGAGAGAGAGATCAGCTAGCCCAGCGGACAGAAAGCGATGCTACCAAGCCAAAGTTGGGTGATTTTTAATCTGCGGCCCTCAGACCTGTCTCATTGTTTTTGTTCAGACATTCCTCTAGGTCATATAGCCCTGGAGTACAAGTTGCCGTACAGCGGTCACTTGTGGTTGCTGTGAGGCTGAACACTGTGACACGGATGTGTCAAATGCATTAATGGCTGGTTATCCAATGCGGACAGAGAGCGGGGTGGAGCTCCCCAATGAAAACAAGCTTGGAAGGAGGAGTGGCATCCACCTCTGTAACAGCTTGGCTCTGGAAACCCTATGAACCTGGAGAGACGATGAGAGACACTCAAGCGTCGAGGACTCTCCTTCATAGGGTCGCTATGAGTTGCCTGTGACAGCACTTAACAACAACAATAATAAAAGAAAGAAAAAAAGGAAGAAGACTCAAAGAGCACAGTGCATCAGTTTGGGCCTGAGATTCCTGCACAGGAAGGAATGAGACCAGCAGTAGAGGTGGCAGAGAATCAGAGAGTGACGTGAGACAGAGCTGGACTAGGCTTGGTGCCCCATGGAGCCAGGGCGCAGGGCCTTCACCCAAGCTTACTGAAAGACCACTAGGGGAGACACCATAACTGGCAATACTTTTAGTAAAAACAGCAGGGGCCAGAATGAAAGTTGCATAGTGGAGTGTACTTGGAGCGGGGGGGATAGTATATCAAAGAAGGAATTTTTCTTTTACTTTTCAAAGAGAAGAACGAACTGGGGGGGAGGGTGGATAGGGAGAAAAATGCAACAATGAATGAATGGAAATTCAAAAATCTCTGCAAATGTTCATTTAAAAAAATAAATTTTTAAAAATAAAATTTAAAAAAAAACCAACCCAGCAAGGGCCACATGGGGACGGCCACGTCTGGTCTTCACCGACGTCACAAAGGGGAACTGTCCACGTTAACAGCATCAACAACACAAAACCAATTCCCATTTGTATTAAACACAATGCGAATGAAGGAAAGTGTGAAATAATGCATACAAGTTTTGTATGCAACCCAATATAAAAGAAATTAAAAAAACAACAACCATATAATTCCCATGAGGTAGACATGCTCCTCATGTTCCTACACCTGTTTGGGTTTTGTTTTTTTCTGTGTGCTCTTGAGTCAGATCCAACTGGCACAGGAGGAGATTACCCATCCTTTTCCAGCGGAGCATCTGGTGGATTTGAACCACGCTCCCTCGGGATTGCAGTGCAACTTCTTGCCATCCCCTACCTCTTTCGACTCATCTCAACACCAATCTTACTGCTTTACTGGGTCCAAAGTCTGATGCTGTAGCTCACAGATCACACAGAAACATATTGGGGAAGTTAAAAGTTATAATGCAGGTTAATAACAGAACTGAGTCAGGACAGCTTCTAAAATGTGTTCACAGGCGCCTCACCTCATCCATGGGATATTCAGTACGCTTCTCCAGCACCACAACTCAAAGGAATCAATTCTCTCTCTAGCTTTTTGAGGCGTAGCAGGTGATTGAGAAGACCGTGGCCTCGATCAGGCACACCTTAATCTTCAGACTGACATCATTGCTCTTCATTTTGGAGAGGTGCCTGACAGTGTAGGATGATAACAAAAGTCTCCTATGTAAAGTTCATTAACATGATTGATTAGCTAGCTGTGAGACTGTTACTCCAGGAGCTTAACTAATGTTAAGGAGTTGCAGTCAAGTCACCTTAACATAGAAAAAAAACCTGAGAAATGACTTGAAGAATGCACCATCAATCAGCAAGGAAGCCTGAACTATCTGCTTCCAACACCAAACACAGGATTTCTGACAGCCATCATGGAAGAGATATGATGGAGCAATTTTATCAGACCCCTGGCCACTTCCTTTCCAGATCCAACCCTTCACACGTTTCTTTCTCTTACCTCACCCCTTTTGTCTTCCCTCTTAAGAGCCTCCTTTGATCCTGAGATAAATGACACTGCTTATGGCTGTTTACTTTCGGATTGCCAGTATTCAAATAGCTCATTTAAAACATTCAATCCTTGTCTCCACTCAGCTGGCGTGCAGCCAACAGGCTGCCAAACACTCTCTTTTTTTTCTGGTTACAGAGTTAGTGGAGGTCAGGTGTCACTGTCCACATGCCAACCACATTCTTTATGCAGTTGTCAGAAGCAGGGTCCATTGTAAAATGGTTCCAGAGTCATGGAAAAATGGGATCTCGGAAGAATAAGGAGCTAAGGGCAGAGGAGGGTGCAACAGAAGGAAGAAAAGCTGTTTTCTGGAGTGCTCAGAGACAAAAGCCAGAGGCCAAGGCTACAGGAGAGGGTTAAGGGCTCGAGACAGGCTAGGTTCTGTTTGAAAAATTTAGAACTCAGCACATATAATTAGCAGAGGCGACATTGACACTGCCCTGCATTTTGAGCTGGACAAGCCCAGATGGCATCTTGGAAACTCAGGCTTACCCTCTGCCCTTTCAGATGGCCCAAGAGATTTCAAGAAGTGTCCACAACATCGCCACTTCTTATCAGGAGCCGTAGAGCGGGACTCAGCGACTCTGTGAACAACAGATCTGAACCCTGTCCTGTCCTGTGCCGTCCTCAAAGTCTCTGACACATTTGAGCCCTTTGCTGCAGTCACTGTACCAATCCACCTCACTGAGGGTCCTCCTCTGTTTAACTGATCCCTCCACGTTTCCTACCAGACATTCAAAATTATTTTTTTAGTTCACTTTTGTCATTTATTCTACTCTGAAACATTACATTATGTGCCAATCATGGCACTAGAAAACAAGAAACAATAACACCCCCCTCCATTTCCATCAAGTTGATTTTGACTCACAGTGGCACTTCATAAGGTTTCTGAGATGTA